GTTCCTTATAAGGAGCAGCTGTTAGGCCTACACTGCTGCTGTCTTGTTGCTTGGTTATTCTTGGTTTCCGGTGTCTTGTGCCGCCTTGTGTGTGTGTTTATCTAAATGCAGAAGTAAAAAGCTTAATAATTGGCAAGATGTGGATATTTCAAACTGTGGGTGTCACATTTTGACTTTATTTCCTGTCAGGTTTCAAAGCAAAGATGTGGAGCCTTCAGAATCTCCTGTTAACCATCTGCAGTAAGTTGTTTAAATAAGTACATAAGTAAAAAGATGGTGATTTAAGGTAAATCTAGATTAAATGTGTAAATATTTTTTGCAGTGCAGAGCTGAATGCCACGCATTCTGTTCATTTTGGTATTTTAATTATATAGCAATAGCATTGCTAATATGAATGCCGAGATGACAAAATAAATAAATATTAAATTAATATATTTTATCCTGTCTTTTCTTTACAGTTGCTCTGATATGTGTGACCAGTGCAGTGGGGGTGATCCATGTGACTGGATATCTGGGGAGAGAGGTTAACGTTTCCTGCTCTTATGATGAGGGTTATGAATCATATGAAAAGTATCTGTGTAAGAACGACTGTGGTGACAGTGATGTTCTTATTACAACATCAAACTCCGTGAAAAACAAATACACAATCCATGATGACAAAACGGCACGAATCTTCACAACAACCATCTCTGATCTTCATTCCACGGATACTGGGAAATACTGGTGTGGAGTGACCAGAACTGGAAAAGATATCTACACTGAAGTCAAGCTTAAATTAGTACAAGGTAAATAAACACATGGACAAACTGAATTTAAAAAAGAAAGTTAAATCTACTGCTTTTACCTGCTATTTCTGCTATAGAATCAACATACTATTAAAGGAAAATGAAGACATACCAAAAATTAATTATTTGTTGAATTCAAGTGAAATTTGTGTATATAAACCATGTGTTACTGTAAAGGTTACAAGGTAACAACACATAAAAACATTACTTGCATTTACTGCTAAAAATATGACCTACTGATGCACCTCAGTTTTAGTCATTATAAATGTTTCAGTTGGTTAAGATTTTCTTAAGATCATTACAATCTTGTTGCAGCAAGCTAAATAAATAAAACATCACATCTGTATTCTATGGTTGTAGCGTGTCTTC